CTGGTCAGTGCAGGTTTGTGCATGGCTGGGAATTGACTTTAGGCCACCAGGCTCATCGTGCAGTGCAGTGCCGGATTAAGCTAGTGCGGGGCCTGTATAATGTTATAAAGGGGCCCTAAATAAAAAAAAACATAAATATTAAAACACAATTTTTGTTACTTGCATAGTAAAGTAATTGTATTTTTTCATTTGCTATACAGCCAGATAATACGACAAATCGCTCACCTTTAAACAGCCAGTCGTTCATAAAAGTTGAAGGCGGTATAGTACTATAGTAATAGAGCAAGTGCAGAATCACTGAACCGGAATTGATAGCTTGAAAGCATTTAGCACGGGGCCCTTGAAAGTTCAATGACATTGTCTTCACGGCCTTTAATGGACAACTTCAAAATTGACCAAGTGTGATCTAAAATTGCTCAATCCACCAACGGATGGAAGCGAATCTACACCAATGTCGGTCATCGTTACATTTTTTAAAAAAATGAAACCACACTTCACCGCGCTGGTCAGCGCGGCTTGGCGAACGTTGAGAGGGTAGGGGGTCGTATCCGATATCACTCGCGACGGAGTCTCCTCCGCCGGCTGGGAATGGAGCGAGGCGCGAGGTGGATAGGCTCACGGCGCAGCGTGCTCTCCACGGTGCCTGCACGCTCCCGCAGCCCAGCCGCTGTGCGTGCTATTGGCTCCCCTTCCTCCCCATGAGACTGTGTGGTCGGGTTGGATTAGCAAATAAGGGGCCGTCCCTAAATGACGTCGCGCACCTAGGGTTGGGGGGGGGTCAGACATTTGTGACAATGTGTGACGAGGGGGGGGGGGGTTGAGAAATGTGACGTCACATCAAAATGCGCAAATTAAAATAAATATAGACAACACGTTCTACTTGATCAAATATACTTTTTAATAAATGTTTTCTCCTACAACATCAGAGTACATCGCCACATTAAATACGCACTACAATGACAATAGTTTAAAGCGATTTGAAGCATGTTTTATTTTCAAAATAGTAATATTTTTTGGGGGGGGCAGAGCTTTGTGTCGTCATATTTGAGGGGGGGGGTCTGACTTTTTGTGACGCCGTGTGACGAGGGGGGGGTCAAAAATCGTCCAAAATCGCGTGACGTCATTTATGGACGGCCTCTAAAACTAAGAACACATTGCTGTTTGACACGTAGGGCTTTTGTGACCAATATTATTCATACTAGAGGTGCCTTTGGGTTAGATCGCGTTAGTGTAAATGTGTCGTTTACCCGCTACCACCCGACACAGACAATTAGTAATTCTGGTAAAATAGCCCGATGATGCTGGATGTAATTAGCAGTGAAACGTCGCACTAACATTTCAAAATGTTGTGGATTTATTCTCCATGTAATACAACATTTTAGTACAGTTAAGTAAAGAAGGTAATACATTTTAAGATTCTAAAGGTAATAAATAGAATGCAATTATTGGAGAGAAGAGTGACTAGATGAAGCAAGTTGTGGCAATGGAGACAATTGGACAAACAGCAATGAATGTAACGTGAACAATTTCGTTGCAACATTTTAAATTGAAAGCGACATAACCTATTCGAATAGAATCTAATTATCACTGATGAATATGGTGATTGTAATTTGGATGGCGAGGCAAAACATTCTGCTCTGAAACTGTGGTCTGCATCCAAACAGACGTGGCAATGCTGATGCAGATTTAAAAAAAAAAACAGTTATACTGTATATGTGCTCTCGGCCATGAAAGTCAAAATAATTCCATTTGTAAATATTCACGTGGAAAAATACGCAGTGAGGGCTGGAAAAGTATTGCCTAGCAGAATTTAACCACGCCAACATGCCCACTGTTTACAAACGACTTCACTGCAATCGGTCCTCTCTGGCATCGTCCAAGATGTCCAACAATTACAAATCTCCGCTTTTGTAAACCTTAAATGTGTTATTTTACAGTGAGTCACGCGTGACCACAATATAATTCACGTCTATTTTTCCTTCACTCTTAGGGGGGTTTTTTGCTTCCTTTTTATTGTCACGTCGCTGTTGAAACGTCCTCGGACAACAACGCGTGCGGGAGCTGCATGAGATTGTGAAGGCGAACATTGTCCCGTCAGAGTGGGAAAACAGGAGCGCATTTCGAAATAATTTCATTGAATAAAGTCAGCACACGGTGGGGGGGGGGGGGTGTAGCCGCCGTGGTCATTATGTGTGCGTGTGCGTGTTGAAATTCTTTCACACCATACGTATCCCAATGTGCTAATCGAAGGTACGGGGGGAAGGATGACAAAGCCAAGAAGTCACCAGATCGATTCTATCTCCCGACGTGGCAGGTGAAACAAGTTTATTACAACTCCTCCATCCCCACCCGCCTCTGTCCACCTAGCAATGAAGATGGGTTCGGCACAGTGAGTCGACTTGCAGGTCGCTGCGTGGAGTGGGGTAAATCACCTTTTATTTTTCCAGGACAGTCTGGCAAGTGTGAGCAAGCAATTGCATGGCTGCGCCTTCACCTGTTAAATTATTACTCTGGATGCATTGGAAGTGTACCACTCGTGTCGTTTTTGGGAATGTTCAGACCTAATAAAAACATGTCTTAACTGTGACCTAATGAGAGATAATAGAACGGGAGTCTGCTGCTTTAGAGACTCGGTATTGGCCTTGATGTCTAAAGCATGCCATTGCCCAGACAGGACAATAATCCAAAAAATAACCTACTCAGCCACTTGCAGCTTATTACTACAATCACACTCCTTGCGTGGTAATGCCTTGACATATTTAATACCACATTCGTTTTTTTCCCCCTCGATTTAAAGAATAATTTCAAAAAATAGTTGCCTGGCCATCCTGGCTGCTGACAAACTTCAAGTTTAGGCTGACGACTCTACTCGCACCCTACGTTTACCATTTTCTTGCTACTGTTTGCTCAACGTCATATAATTATTTCCCTACCTACCATCCCCAATGCCTCGATAACGTTTCTCCTACATTCAAAACGATTCCCACAATATTGTCTCTTTAAATGCTAGTTCATTGGTCACATATGTCTGCTCAATGTTTCTGTAACTTAATTGTAATTGTTACTACGATAAGGCCTAAAAATAATATGCCCGGGCCACATCGGTGCGACAAGGATTTCATTATGTAACGTTGATTTATGTTTGTGCAATATATTATATTATAAACTCCTCATGCTGCACAGCTGTTTGTGTGCTGATTTCCAATTGCTTCATGAATTTGCTTTATTTTAATTTGGACTTCTCATTTTGGTGATCCAGGTACCTATGGCAAATTAAATTATCTTGGTCTCTTGAATTCTAACTTGGCAAAACAAAGTAAACTTTAAAATCCCTTGCGTATACCTCCCTAAACCCTCATACCTTCCTCTCCAAAGACAAACTCTTGAGATGTGTTTACATTCACATGAGTTATAAAGCCTCTGGAATTTTAACTCATGACCAATTATCATTAAACCATCGTGAGTCTACATATGTGATCACCTATGCAGTTTACACACAACCAGATGATGCAAATGCTTAATGTAATGAGGCTGTGATAGTGTTTTTTTTAGCAATTTCACTTTGAAAAAAAACATCAAAAATGCATGTTCGCCATAGCCAGGAATTGAACTCCCACTCTGCTACCCCGCACTTATGTTACCGAATAGATCTCGAACAACAAAAACTTGGGTAACTAATTGCACCAAGGGGAGATAAACTATTAAGAAAAACATTTATGGTCCGTTTTTGTTACAGCTTCATCAGGCGACAGCCAGATTTGTGAATGAAACAGGTGGACTTCACAAATCTGGCTGTCGCCTGATGAAGCCAGTTATAATTACTGGCGAAACGTTGTACTCAGATTGCAAATGTTGTGGCTTGGCTCTCCAACACACCGGAGTGCTGTAGGAGTGACGAATTGCCACATTCTGTTTACGTGACAAACCTCACTAGTTGGCTGTGTCGGGTGGTGGCGGATTTAACGACACATTTATATATACGCGATCTAACCCAAAAAAACCTATATTGTTAATGATACAGGTCGCAAAAGCCAACGTGTTAAACTCTCAGCAACATTTCGATATTAACCCTTTCCCACGTGTCCATCATCAGTTTTTCTTCCAATTAAAACTAAAGCAAAATTACTTTATCGGTACCATGGCTCGCACAAGGCCATGCGGGAGGGCGTGTGTTGTAGTTTGGCGCCAGCTATTATCGAGTGCGGTCGTGTCGCTACAGGTCACTGCGGTGAGTGCAATATCTTTAAAAACAACAGCGCTACGGCTCTCTAAATAAAATCAATGCTGAACCGCTCGCGCATTCTGAGGTTCAGCGGTGAACGGGACACCCACCCCAAACTTGCAGTCGTCTCGGGAAGGCAAAGGCTAAGAATCGATGAATAAAACCGCAGTAAGTTGAAACGCGATTTTCTGTACGTGGCATTTGTGACCTTAAACAATTTGCGTGTCACGGAAATCTTGGAGGACGGCCCACGACGAAGCTTGCTGTCCAAAATGCACGCCTCTTGGGCTTCTGTAGCACTCCATCTGCTTGAATGCTGCAGTGCAGTGCCAGCCTCAAAACCCACGGCAGTGCCGCCTGGCTCGGCGAGAGACCACTGGCAGACCTTCAAGACCCACTTCTTCTTCGTGACGGGTATGAGGTGGCTGGGCGGCTCAGGGCAGGACCGGGCAGGGAGTTAATGCAGACGTCAGCACTATGCCAGCAGCCCCGATATTCTGGCTTCGAGATACGGGTGCATGCGGATAAAAAAAAAAAACAGATTATATTCAGCGAGAAGGGCTGAATATAATCTGAACCACGCGCGCACACAGTGTAACGAGAAGCAATACAGGGTGCTTACATTTTTTTGTAACATCTATATGGGACTATCGTTTTTAATGGAAAAAGAACGGATAATGCACTGTAACATGATAACAAATGTAATGTTAATAGCTTCAAAAAGTCAAAGAGTCTCCACTTATTCGCAATCATTGTCAACACGTGCCTGGAAACTTCTCCAGGTGGCCTCCAGAGCCTGGAGGCACATTTCTTGTGGTGTTGTTGCAAATTATCGGATGTGTTAACATGTTTTTTGCATCACCCTGTATATTGCAGTGGGAAACAATATATAGCAGTGGGAAGTGTTAAGTTGTGGCAATATGTCACTGGACATCTGTGAATAGGAGCTTCATAGCTCGTCTGATTTCTCCAGGATAAATACAGATTCGGATGAAGATTCTGAAAAGAGGGCTTAGTTTCGAGAGATACTCTGAATGTATTTCTCATTTGCATGGGTGGTTCTGAGAAAGGTGTTAAAATTGAGTGCTTTTGCCATCGCTCGAAGGGGTTTGACAGCTGGTGGTTGCAAATGAAGGGGTGACAGCCAAAGGAAAGAATGCGTAATGGAGAGGACATCTGCGCAGAAGATTGTGCGATGAAATCAGCTTGAGTGCCATCACACCACAGGATCGTGATGTTTTATTGTGCAATAATATAATCATACAACTAATCAAATTAAAATTCATTAAATCACAAGGGAGTAAATTCCACGTACTGCAATATGTTATCCTTCAATCTCGCTGAGCTTCCCACTACAATAGTTGACTTGTAATTCTCAAATAAATGGGACATAATCATGGCATTGCCACAGTTGATACATGCATCATTATCATCATCATCATCAAAAGTATTGCCGAATAAATTTGTTTTTAGCTCTCCGCTCCTTGCGCTGGGAGCTTCTTCAAGTTTATTCAGTTCCTGAAGCTCTGAGAACCCGGAAGCGAAACGCCGGACATCGTGACGAACAACACGTGGTACGACCGGTAAGCACATCAGAGGGCTGGATGGCACAACCGTGAAAACATTGGTCATCGTAAGTCGTACGTTTGATTTGTTGCTCCTTGGTACCGTGTCCCTGTGTTCTCCCGCCGCCTAGGTGAACGTGCTCGTCATGGGCTCACTCAAGTCGTTTGGCCTCCTCTTCGTGGCCCTACAGGATGAGTTCGGGGGCACGTCGGAGGAATTGAGCTGGATTGGCTCCATCATGTCCAGCATTCGTCTCATCGGAGGTACGGTATGCCACAAATGAACCACAACACCTCACTGATCTCGTCCAGGAGCATAAATCATCATGCGAACTCAGGTCACCCTCGCAGCAGCAGATTTTGGCTACCCATCGGACAAAGATGGTCACCGCATCGCGCCCTTTCAGATGCGCTTCTGTGGCCGTCTGGAACGCTCTTCCGTCCGATATTAGGAAGCCACTGGATTGTAAACTAATTTCCTTAGAACATTTGTTTGTGTTTAGTTTGTTTTCCTTCGCAACGCATCTCCGATTAGCACGGTTGACTACGTACAGTGCGAAAGATGTTCAACATACATACGGTAGGTATATCCTCGTCTAATGCAGCTGCACGGGCTTCAATATTAAAATATAATCTTTTGCAGCCCCTGGTCAATCCACTGCTGGACGAAGGCCTCCCCACGCCGTGTTGGTTAAAATAGGATTGTTTGATTATATTTCACCATGCTGGTAAGCACGGGGCTCGCGAAGTGAAAAGAGGGAGCAATGACCAATTCAGATACTGTTCGGCACTCGGTTCAGATATCACTCGGCAAATAATAATAATAAAACACATCTGGGCTTCAAGGTTCACAATGCAGCGTGCAAGCAAGCATTGCTCCACCACCTTCACGTTAGATGTAAACGTTGCAAAAATATATAACATTGCAATACAAATCTTATCAGGCTATATTGGCAGTGGTGTTTTTAAAATAGTTTATTGTAGCAATTAGAGAGAATTTGCCGATGTTAATACGTTGAACAAGGCCAGCGCATCTTGCTTGTCCACAATTCTGCTGTACCGTAATCACCTGCAGCCAGATGGCAGAGGTGCTCGCTGAGTGCACTTGCCCCAACGGTCTGCTATACAGGGGACTTTTGTCATTGCCTACCCATCTGTGGCGCAGGTCCAGTGGCCGTGGTTGTGTGCGGGAAAGTGGGCGACCGCGCTGGTGCCGTGCTCGGTGCGCTGGTGGTGGTGGCTGGCTTCATCGGCAGCATCTGGGCCGGCAGTCTGCTCTTCCTCTACCTGTCACTGGGTCTGGTCGTGGGTACGAGCACTGGACACCAACTCGACCGGGCATGGTGGCAAAGCGCCGCCATAGAGAAGACGAATGTGTGCACGTTGAATGTCTTTCGCACCGTGCGTAGTCAACCGTGCTAGTGGGACTTGCGGGGGATGGACTACAAACTAAACACACAAATAAAACTGTTCTTAAGAGTTTTCAAGTTCGGATACCGTGCATGTAGACGATGCTAGCCATTGAAATGTGGAATTTCAATTCACAAGCTCAAGTCCACTCACGTAGATTATCCCCGTCTGACACTTAGACGGCAAACCTCTGCAACAAGCAGCGAATGTGCCACCGCTGTGCCACGTAACATTTTCTTTGGAGCAGGAGGACCCCTTGACTTCACTTCACTTGATGTTGAATGAAAAAAAAACTCATGTTCCTGGCCTCCCTTAGTCGTTAAAACATAAATCAAGCTACAACTGATGTAAATCGAAAGGTCATTGAAATATCATCTCATTGGCTCTGCCCAGCGAAATGGTTTGCATTTCATTTCGTGACTGAGACGCGCAGCATCAGCCACTGGCAGCCTCTCGCCCGCTGCTCTGTTTGCTCGAGCTGATGGCGTGCAGGTTATATGTATGCGAGGTTGTGCTTATGAGAGGTGGGTCTCCCTTGCAGGATGGTATTGCCATCTCATAGAGTGGTCACCTGGGTCTAAATGAAATCGAGCTGGAATCAAGTGAATTGATTGTCTGAAAATTCAAGTGGACTTCTTTTTTTACGGTTGACTACTCGGGCTGCTTTATAAATAGCAGCCACCCCCACATCTTCACTTGTACATTCAGAAGTTCACCTCCTGAACCTCCCTTCGCTCCTCTCCTAAAGCTCATAACCTCTTCCAAATTGCCCATTCTCTTCCCTCCCCTCACCCCTCCACTCCATCCCGTCCCTCACCTACAGCCCTTTCGTGATTCCTAAGTACCTCTCTATCGGTGTCACTCATTCCTCAGTCCTTGTAGCACGCCCCTGCCAACTACATCGTTCCATTGTGTCACCGTTTTGTGAGCAATGTCAAGTGCCTTGAGTGAAAGTGCTCTATATATACATATACAATTAGATTCGATCTTGCCTCCCAAATGCAGAGAGAAACTCTACAAGCCACACTGAAGATGCCAATGACATCGCAAAGTCACACCCATCACCTCCCGTTCAACAGCAGACGTGGAAGCAGAAGCGATTCTGTTTTGTCTCATCTCTTTCCTTGTTATCCGATTAGCCGAGTAAGCAAACCGATAATCGGTAAAAGTATTAAATTCCTTAAAAAAATAAAAAAATAATCGGATAGCCCCTCTCTAAAATAATGGCTATGTCTAAATAATCCGTCCTGGTGTACCCATGAGCCCTAATACTGACATGACCACTCGTGCCGACGCATTGCATACCCCTCCCAACGGGCGCGTCTGCGGTGTGGCCTGCATTGGTTGCCTTTGAGATTCTGCCTTAAGTTGTGAGCCTGCGTTGTGACGCTTTCCCTCCACAACACCGGGGCCACTCGCTGTTTGGTGACCATCGCAACAGCAGTGGCGGCGGCGGCGTGCGGAGCGATTCCTTGCAGTGTGGGACTCCGGGAATTCTACGAACAAAGCACTCAAAATTTGGGGCCCCTCCAATTTCGAATGGTTGAATGGATTTTTTTCGTGCGTATGAAAGCGTCCTTTTGTTGCACGCGGCGGCGAGTGGCTGGGAGTACGTGCCGGAGCACGAAGCCGTGCAGCTCCACAGCCGGTTCTCATCTTGCTCGGGGGCCGTGCACGACGATGCCGCCAGTCTCCAAGTGAAACACTCCGCACGTGTGTGCACGTGTGTGTACGTGCGTGTACGTGCGTGTACGTGCATGCACGTGTGCGAGCTTCACGCACCGCGCCATGAACATGGCGACCCGAGTTCGATTCCCGCTCATGGCCAACATCAGTGACGAATATCTGAACCGGTCCCTGGGCCTCCCCGAGCTCGGCTCAGCCTCAAATGAGTACCTCGTGCGGTGTGTAAACATCGCCACTGGGGAGACAAAGGCGGTCGGGCGTGGTGCTGGCCACCGACCCGCTCGTCTTACGTGCCGGCCTTCATAGGTGCTCGCTACCAGCACTTGCCCCAACAGTCTGTTCAGGCTATACGGGGGAGATCTTTGTCTTTGTTTGTGGGCTTCGCGAGAGCCTCCGGGCTTACGCACACAGGTGCACAGAGTTTCGTTTGGAATGAGCGTTCTTTATCCCAGCCTCTCCAATCACAGCTCTCGCTATGCAGACAGGGCATTACATTCTGCACTGCAGCAGCCATGATCATCAACATCATCATGCATGTCACGATCTATCGACTGCCAGATGAAGGCCTTCCAATTCTGAGACTATTTATCACAGTGTTCAACATTTTTTGAGCTGTTTCTTTTTTTTACAAATTCAGGGGTCGGGTGGATCGCTCTGAGAGATCCACCAGTCCCGCTGCCCTCCCCCCCCCCATCCATCACCTCCGATTAGCACGGTTGACTACGTACGGTGGGAAAGAAGTTCAACACACATGCATCACCTAGCTTTGGAGCTCCATTACTAATGCACGATTGGATGATATTTACCCCAACCCCATCATAGACTCTCAACGGAGTCAGATTTGGAAGTCGTTACGTGATAATAGCCACAGATTATCCCCCCTCCCCTCCCATGAGGACCATCCAATTTAACTGAATGCACGCCACCTACATTACAAATAAGAAGCTTGCCAAGTCCGAGAGTGATACTTCACCAGATTGTCTCCCAACCTTCCCCCGAGTCTCTGGATTGTCGGCTTGGATCATTGCCACCGTGCGCCAGGCAACTGCTGCCCATCGCTCCGCTTCACGAAGACGGAACGTGTTACTTGGGGCATTTGGCGAGCCCCTGCGACGGTCCGCTTTGTCAGACGACAATGGCAATGCGGGGTCTGGTCGCCGCGTGTGCGTGAACATTCCTTCTGGGAATTGGCTCCACAAACACCACGGGGGGGAGGGTGCCACACAAATTCACCGCGCGGCGAAAGTGAGGCTGGAGGATTGGCCCGTTGCGTGCGTCGGGCGTCAGCGATGTATAGCAGCGGTGCCGTTTCGGGTCCGCTTCATCGTAAACGTTCGCCCGGAATCCTTGCCGACTCCTTGCAGACCGATGCCGTGGACGGCGTTGGCGGGGCTGTGACCCGACAGCCACTCGACCTGCTCCCTGCGGGGTGCTCAACGGCCCACTATGCAGCAGTCCGGGGGAGCGGCGGCGCGGAGGTTAGGGCACCCAGTTTAATTTCCCCACTCACGGACAGCGTCAGCGACGAATATCTGATGCGGTCCCAGAGCTCCCCAAGGTCGACTCAGCCTCAAATAGTAAGCATCAGCACTGAGGCGCGGTGCTGGCAACACCACCGCGTTGCGTTGCTTGCAGCGTTTGCCCCAACAATCTGTCAAGAGGCTTGGAACACGCGGAGACTTCTGACTTTGACGTTCTCTCACTCGGTGACCATTGACGAGTAGAGCGTCGGGGGGCGGTGGCGGGCGGGCGGGCGAGCGGGCGAGCGATGCCTGGCCCCTGTGGTGCCGTGCAGGGCTGGGCTATGCGTTGCTGTACCAGTCGGGCACTGTGATGGTCGCCTGCTACTTCAAGCGGCGTCTCTCAACGGCGTACTCCATCTCGCGATCCGGCATGGGCCTCACCTTCGTGCTGGCGCCGTTCACACAGCTGCTGCTGGAAACCTACCACTGGAGGGGTGCGTGCATGTGTGTGTGTGTCTGTGTGTGTGTGTCTTTGTGTGTGTGTCTGTGTGTGTGTGTCTGTGTGTGTGTGTCTGTGTCTTTGTGTGTGTGTCTGTGTGTGTGTCTTTGTGTCTGCGTCTTTGTGTGTGTGTCTTTGTGTGTGTGTGCGGGGAGCGGTGGTGTAGCGGTTAGCGCTACGCTGCTGTGCTATGAACCTGGCGACCCGGGTTCGATTCCCGCTCATGGCCAACACGCAGTGACGATTATCTGAACCGGTCCCGGGCCTCCCCTAGGTCGACTCAGCCTCAAATGAGTACCTGGTGCGGTGTGTAAACATCGCCACTAGGGAGAAAAGGGTGACGAGTGTGGTGCTGGCCACCCACCCCCTCGTGTGCCGTGCCGGCCTTCATAGGGGCTCTCTAACAGCACTTGCCCCAACAGTCCATTACAGGCTATTTGTCTTTGTATGTAGGTGCGTGCTTCTCATTTTGCCCAACTCGCAGCATCATTAGCTTGAGGCAACAGAGTGTTCGATTTGATGACAAGAGATACCAATGCTTTTTGTAACGTGGACGTCTCATGGTTAAAAAGTGTGACACACGCAGCTTTGTCTCATCTATGTCCCGTGAGCAACGGTCACACAGAAGGCAGTGGGGTGGCTCCAAGGTGTGGCCCAGTGGGGAGCAGCAATCGCCCTCCCGCTGGGCCCCCATCGCACCATTTCCTTCGTTTTATTTCTCCCTGCCGCTGTCCAGGAGCTCTGTTGATTCTCGGAGGGGTCATGCTCAACCTCGTGCCCACGGGGATGCTGCTGCGGCCGTTGCTCCTCAAAGGCCCGCGGCCGAATACGGAGCCGGCGCACGCCGCCGCGGGCGTCCGCGACGCCGACGAAAACCCGGAGCCTCGCAGACCGCCCTCCTCGCCCAAGAGGGACGGGGAGGCCGCCGCCGCCGCCGTGGCAGCGGCGGCGGCGGCGACGACGACGACGACGACGAGCGTGGCGTCAAGGAGCCCTGAGACGGGCGGGCGCAGCGGCAGCGGCAGCGGCGGCCGGGACCCGGAGCACGAAGTGCACGCGGCCGCGGAGGCCCCCTTTCTCACGCGGGGAACACGCCGCAAGATGTTCTGCGGCGACGACGACGCCGCCGCCGCCGCCGGCGCCGGCGTCGTAGACCTCGACGAGCTCGGCCACGACGGCAGAGCGGCGGCGAGGGAGCGTCGGGGGCTGCTGGACTTCCCGCTGCTGTGCAACCCGCTGTTCGTCATCTACACGGGCAACGTGTTCTTCAGTCAGCTGGCGTACTTCATACCGTACTTCCACCTGGCCGCCAAGGCTCAGGACTTGGGCATCGAGCCGATGGATGTGTCCATCATCATTGCCGTCGCAGGTGGGCTGGCACTCCACCTCGTTGTGTCTCGTTGCTGGGTGTGTGCGATATGACGGGGTGGAACGCGTGCCAGAGGCTGACAAGTGGGGAGACGGAGCAATGAAATGAGCTCGTGTGTAGGAGCTAAGGTGGATTGTCGTCGTGAGGGATGGGGACCGCTGGGACACTGAGGAGCCCCAAGGCAGTTTTCGTAAAATAAATGACTAAATGTGACATATTTTTTTGTAATTTTAGTCCAAAGCCCTGGGTCTGATCGCATCCGTTCACTCGTCCTCCCCTTGCCACCCCCTCTCCCCCCCCATTAACTTGTTGTGCAGGCGCCACAGAGACGGTGGCCCAGCTGCTGTCGGGCTGGGTGGCCGACAAGAACTGGATGCGCAAGACTCACTACTACCGTGGCTTCCTGCTGCTGTGCTGCGCCACCAACTTGCTGTCTCCTCTTGCCACCACCTTCCCCGGCCTGCTCATTTACGCCATCTGCTTCGCCGCATTCTGCGGGGGCTACATGGCTCTCATTCTTCCCGTGCTGGTGGGATAGTCTTCCACCGTGTCATTTGCACTCCCCCTGACTGCACGCTTTGTTCCCCAGGTTGTTTTTGACGGTGTTAGCGGCACGTGCCGGTAAACCCCGGTGCTTTGGGGGCATCTCGTATAGATTGCATAATGCGTACGTTTTGTATGGCTCTATGCGTGGCCGATCGTGCTAATCATGGGTTGTTTTGTGCAGGCGATGGCGGCCTAGCGGTAGCGCGTTCGTCGCTCGTTCCGGAGGCTCGCGGGTCGAATCCGGCGGCCACCCTGGTTAATGCTTGCGGTGTGTTACTCCCGCGAGTGTAAAGATTACGTGACGGCTGCGTCACTGCGGACGCCAAAGATCCCCGTGACGTCGTTCGCAAGTGTAGGCCCGCCGTGTGTGTCGGCGGTCATCGTCCACGTTCGCCAGATTCGGACAAGTTACTCGCAAATTACTCTGGTGGGATTACGCGTAGCCATCCTTGCCGCCCCTACTGCAAAGACCTGGCGGGCACCTCCTGAAAACTGGTCGTGAAACTCAGTGAGGCGTTCGTGGATTCACAAGCGTAGCAATTATGATAATGTTACTATTTATTAAAACTATTTTTTTTATTTTACCAGCTAAGGCCCACTTAGCTATGCAGCGACCTGGCCACAAATGATAGCTCAAGGAAGCGGGTTAACACGTGGACATTTATAGCAGCCAAATACTTTTGAAGGCATGATGATTCTAAATGTGGAGGGGAAAACTGGAGGATCTGGAGTAAAATCGACACGACCACGAGGAGAACTTGCAAACTCCAAATATACCGGTGTCAGGGTCGGGATTGAACCCACGATAATTTAGTTTTCTTCACTGGCCCCCACTCCCCATCACGTATCTCTGAAGCAGCCAACAGCACCTGTTTAGCAGGCCTCACTGCTTTGAATTCTAGACTGAAAACTAATTTCTTTAAAACTGCTTTTTGTGTTTAGTTTGTTTTCCTTCCCCCACACCTCCGATAAGCAGGTTGGCTACTGTACGGCGTAAAAAAAGTCCAACATACACACGTAGACCAATGGAGCTTCACGGCCTAGTCACTGGGGCTTCACAGGGGCTTGTGAGCTTTCGTCAATGAACTTGCAGTTGGATGTTGCTCCATTCTCGTAAACTGGCACCGCGACCGACTCCTGTCCATGTTGCAGGTGGGATTCATGGGCATGCAGAGGCTCCAGAGTGCCAACGGACTCGCCAACTTCTTTGTGGGCTTTGGCTGCTTGATTGGACCACCAGCGGCAGGTACAGCTCCATTTTATTAACGGACTCGGCTGGAGGCCCGTGCAACTCGGATTGCGCCGCATTGCTTTCCCGTCAGTCGCCCGAAAATCGTGCCAGGTGAAAGGACAGCGCAGCCGAGTGCAACGCCCTCATGTGTGGATGCTGCCGCAAAGGGATGGTGTGAGTTGAGGAAATGAGAAGAACACACCGATATTCAAAATACAAAGATTCCCCCCTATATAGCCTTAACATCTGTCGCGGAAAGTTCTGTTAGCGAACCGCTATGAAGTCCGGCACGGCACACGAGGTGGTGGGCGGTCAGCATCATGATCGGGCTGCCTTTGTCTCCATAGGGACGATGTTTACACGCTGCACCAGGTACTCATTTTTGAGGCTGTGTTGACCTAGGGGCGGTCCAGGATCGGTTCAAATAATCGCCACTGGTGGGAAACTGGGGGAATCAAACTCTGTTTGGTGGGTTCGTAGCGCAGCTCGCTAACCACTGCACCACCGCTCCCCATTTATTCACACTAATTTACACGCAAACATCCCAATGTAGCAGGACCCCCCTGTAAAACAGTCTGCGGACTCAGTGAGGATTTCCTGTGCACGTGAGGAATTGCATCCACAGCTTTCTGCATAGTCACAAGACTTGCTCACACATTGGACGCCTATTGGATTGCGATTGCAAATAAAATAGATAACCGGCTAAATTGGATGCAACAACATGCATCTGAACCTTAACCTATGGCATGCCATCGTGTGGCAATTTCCCTTCGATTGCACCAAGCGTACCCGCCACGCTGTTCACGCGGCTTCAAAGGGCATCTCGCCTGGCACACTCACCGTGGTGACAACGGCGTTACTTGGCCGCGAATAGCGACTGTTGTAGTTTATCTCTGTGGCAGCCTTCCAGCTCCAACAGAGAAGCAATTAAGAAAACGAGCAGAGTGTAATTGCGGCTTCAATTCAGCGAGTTGGCAGAGTGCGGAGTGCAGGTGGTGCTTGAACCAATCAACACCAATCTGTAAAACCCACAACACCTGGGTTTGTCCCATGACTTCTCAGCAACGAACCTTCATCACGTGTTAGATTAAATTAGTTTGTGGGCTCTATCCTGCGTAAACAAAGGACGTCACTCACAGGATAATGCATCTTAATGGGCTCTCACCTGGTTAAATAAAGGACATCATTCACAACAGACAATTCGTCTGAATGGGATTCTCACCTGGTTAAATAAAGGGCGAATGTGCTGATTTCAGAGTGGTGATTATTGTTTGCTGTGTTCGTGTCGCGGTGGCACAAAATTACACTTACAACTCTCACGGTCGGCCACGAGGGGGCAGACGTGGAGCGATTCAGGGTCCCAGATTCAAGCCAATAATCAAATATCATTTATTTGATGACAAAAAAATTGGCACAACCACGTGGCCGAGACAAAAAACAAATATGAATCACTAAGTACTTCATTATCATATCAGTGTACATGTAAACATGAATAAATAAGTCCCATAGCCTACAGCATCAATAGTTAATTAAACTGAGTTTAACAATGTGTCGTTTCATTGTTCAAAAGTGACTCTTAATCCTTTCCCATTCCAGTGACGTATAAGGACGTCATCAGTACACGTACGTCAACTAAATGGAATCTGAATACAAAAAATTACTTTTTTGGTACCGAGGCTCCTACAAGGCCATGTGCGATGGCGTGTGCGGCGGTCGTGTCGCTACAGTTCTCTGCGGTGAGTGTAATGTCTTTAAAAACAGCGGCGGTTTGCCTGTCTAAATTAAATTAATGCAAACCGCTTGCACGTTCGGAGATTCGGCGGTGAATGGGACGTCTCGGAACGGGAAAGGGTTAAGCTCATGATACGTTCAGAGGATGATATCACGCGGATATGTCTGTCTCGGCGATCACTGAAATGTTAAGCATGCACCAGCTGACAATATTGTCGCGTTTAGATCTCAGTAAAGCCACGTAGATAGAAAAATAATTAAAAAAATCACGACGTTTCGATCGCAACACAAGCAATCGTCTTCAGGTGAGAGCCTCTTTCTTCACATGAGTGACGGTGCGTCACTAATCTCTGTTGATTGCACTCAACAAGCGATGGAAAGTCCACACATGACAGGGTTAGGGTTGTCGGGGGGGGGGAGGCAGTCGCTCCAAAAGACAACCAATAGTTTTGGTCGAGGAGGAAATGTGAGGCAGTCCAGCCAAGTTATTATTTTTCCCCTGCAGGTGGCGATCTATATCCATAATGATGAAAAAAAACAATAGGGCTTTTTCCCTTTCCGGCAATAATACCGGTGATACGATATTCAAACACCAAATTGACACCTATTGCTAGGCATCAAGTCTGTATTAACCATACACGCTTGTGGTGAAACATGCATGCAAACAAACATGGGTTTGATAATAACGTATCCATTGTCTATGGAACTGATTGGACTACACCAGAGGCAGACTCCTTGATCGCCTCGTCTCACCAGTGTGAAACCAGAGACAGCGAAATGGCAAACAGCACAAAGGCATTGCAAATATCAAAGCCTCCTCAATAGCTCGGGTTGAACCTTTTATTTTTTCATGATTTTAATACCGGAAAAAAGGGTCCCAAAGATATACAGAACCCATATTGTTGACTTTGTTGACTAGTATACACTCTGCAACCTTCCACACTGATAGATATGCCATACGTGCTTTGAGATAACTTATAAATACATCGTACGTTATAATTATTCGTAGTAACTCACCTTCTTTGGTGGCATTGCCTTGACATGGTGAAGAAGCTTGAATGCCTTGGCAGATCTGAGGTGTTCAGAGAGAGGCGAGACAAACTCACAGCACGCATTTTGAATCATGTACCAACATAGTGACATACAGATATCCTCGACAGAAAACAAGTAGAGAGCCCATTGAGAACAGAAGTCTCAATAGCATTGGACATTCGGATCAAAGTACAAAATACAGACAAAACTAAGTCAAAAGAAAAGCATGACTAAACAAGTAATCTATGCCACAGCGTCAATACAATACATTCGATAAACATATTCCTCGAAGATACTGGTGGTAAGATGCTAAAGTTGAGGGCGCTTTGTTCCTCTCACACAGCTTAAAGGCCGTGATCTGAACGTGGCTCTTTCACTCCAGCGCTGTCCTACCAGACAGTCTCGTCCCTTCACCTGATGAAGGCCGCTTGTGTTGTGGCCGAAACGTCGTGAGAATATTATTGTGTTATTTTATTTTATCAATTTATTATTTTATTCTCATTCTACGTGACTTTACCGAAAGAACCAAAGAAGAAGATCAACTCCGTCAGAACGTTAACAGGCTGATGTGCACACCTCCTTAACAAATGGACATTTAAAGAGAAGCCAAGGTAGTGTGACTGTGGCCATGTAACCCAAACTACGGACCATATCGTGAACCACGGGAGTCTCCGCTCCTTCAACGGAGGAGGAGGAGGAATAACAACACGACTCGACCGCTCTCTCCTGAAGCCCTCTCGTCGTGGCCAGCAGGCCTCGCGACATTGTCATTTAGCTCACTGAACACATTGCCATCATCATACGCAAGAATAGAAAACTCTCGATACGATGTACAGTTCTCAGCCCTTTGACAGACAATCGAGTGCTGGATGAAGGCCTCCCCATGTATGCATGTACGATTCACTCCCTCGTTTCCACTCGCCGTTGACTACTGCGACTCTTCTTCTCGGCCTTCCAGCCTACGTCCTCGCTCCTCTCCAACGACAGATACAAAATGCCTCGTCCATCGCCAACTCCATTGGCTCCCTATCGGTATGTCTGTTTAAATGTCTCACCCTAGTCTATAAATGCCTCCATGTATGTTGGACTTCTTTCGCACCGTACGTAGCCAACCATGTTATTCGGAGGTGCAGGGGAAGCTTAGCTCAGCTTACTCCTCTTCGCTCCCTGTGGAGCATAAGGCCGCAACAAGCCCACGCCATGCCAGACGGTCTTTAGCAAACTAAACAGAAAACGCAGTTCTAAAGAATTTAGTTTTCAATCTCCATTTAAAAGTGCATAGCACCAATGGTTTCCTGATATCAAAAGGAAGAGCGCTCCAGACGCTCTTCCTTTTGTTCGATGGCTAGCCACAAGCCACTTTGAGGTCGACCGGAGTTCGCCAGATGCTTTATGCTCCTCGACGAGATCGGCAAGGTATCGTTCATTTGTGTCAAGGGCTTTGTGTGTCACGAGTTGCGACCTCGTAATGCCGCGTCAGCCATCGACTTTCCCAGTCGCCCTTGACCGCGTGCGTGCGTGCGTGCGTGTCGTGTGACCCATTCCCCCAACCGAAGGCTTCCTCTACGACCAGACCAAGAACTACGACTACTCGTTCATGCTGGCCGGGGCCTGCTACCTGATCGCCTTCCTCGTGCTGCTGTGCGAGCTGCTGGTGCCGTGCTGCGGTGGCGGTGGAGACGGCACGGGCGAGACCGTGGCGCCGGCGGTGGTGCCACGCGCTGCCCGCAGGTGGGCCGGCTGGCCGAGGGCCCGCGTGGTGCCGTGCGGGAACGGCCCCGGCGGGGTGTGAGCCGCGGAGAGACGAGCCCCGGCCGAGCCGGTCTCACGTTGCGTTCTGGTTCTGCGTTCACAGAGGGCTCACACTGCTCTGCGAGAGATCCACACTGATTCTTCTTCTTCTCCTCGTGAGATGGCGCCGCGAGGAGCACTATCGTAAACGTGACTTGTCACACGCAGGACAGTGCACCGTTATTTTATATTCATCGAGAGCCTTAGCTCAAGGAGCTTTACACAGTTTAAAAGCGGTTACAAAGCCCCAGTGGTTTGGATGGCAAGGGCAGTGCGAGGGCCGAGGAATGAGTGGCCGTAACAGAGGGCACGAGGGGGGTCACGAAAGGGCTATGGGGGAGGGACGGGATGGAGTGGAGGGGCGAGAGGGAGTGTGACGGCTGATTGGGATGTGCGCGTCCTGACGTGGAAAGCGTTCACCGAACGTGATGAAACGGCGTCCATGTGTCTGCACTGTCCCCGTTCCGTGCACTGACGTCCCGTGGCTGTAATCATTGTCGGGGAGATCTCAGCATCTCGGTCGTCCACCACTCGTTCACATTTTTGCTACAGCATTGATATCCGTCGCAAGTACATTATTTTAGACTTGGAAACATGTAGGAGGCGCTGGGAGCCAGATCTGGCGAGTCTGCGTTATCTCGAGGTTGTATCAAATGTTTCGTTAACACACAGTTACTCATTGCACTGGCTTGGTAGCGGTGGCGTAGTGGTTAGCTCAATAAACTATGATCTCGGTGACCTGCTTTCCATTCGTTTGTCTACACAATATCAGCGATAGATGCTAATTGGCCCATTCCTGGGCACCTGCTCATTTAGCCCCATATGAAATGAATATCCGTGGCGGTCATCAGCAGCGGGAATTAAAAGGCCGGGCGTGGGTTCTGTCAACACACCACTCCTTTGCTGGCTTTTCTTGTTGCTTATTAACATATTAACTTGTTCCAATCTTTGATGACGCTAAACTATAGAAGTCTGCTTCAGTCATTTATATAAAAGTGTCCTAAGCCAATAACATCCGAGTCTCGACCGTGACCTCCTGGTGGTGATTCGTTGCTGCTCCAAATGGCTTCAAAGTGCACCTAGCCTGGCACAAGCGCCGTGGTGATGGCACTTCCACGGAGCGTTTAAATGTCAACTGTTGTGCGTTATTGTCGCACTGAAGAAAAAATGTTGCACCTCACCGTTCAAGGTGACTCCCATCCCCAGGTTCCCAACCTGTGTCCCATGCACCACAGGTTTAAGTTGATTGCGTTTAACGAGGTGAGAACTCAACAGGATAGGATACCCTCATTTGCAACGTGTGACCTGAGGTCACAAAGACGACAAATGCAAAACAAATACAATAAAGTACAGCGATGAAGGAAAGAGAAACCCCGTGAGAAATATAATATAATTGCACAAACCTTAATCGACGTCAAAGTGATACATTCCCTATCACGTCAGATAATGTTGACACTGATCATAGTGCAATTGCAGTTATGTTATGGAAACGTTGAAACAATGTATTGTCCTAACAGTAAGCAGGCAAGAATATATGTCAAACGTTGGTTTGCAAGACTGAAATGATCCGTGGATCTGTTGCAGATCGTACTTTATTTTACCAAAGCGCCATACTAGTATTTTTCTCCCCAATGCACACATATTTAGTTTAGTCAATAAGAGGCAAGTCAATCGTTCAAAGACGTGATTTTATACACGTGTGTCTTTTAAAATACAAATCTCACTGTAAAGTCTACGAACATGGACACACTATACTGTATAACAAAAGGGTTTTAATTATGACCGCGCAATGGTGACCAAATATAATGGCTATTTCCTGTTGCCTGCTTAAAGAGTAAACGTTATGCCATGACATTCCAGCCACCGTTTTGTTCATTTGTTTATGGCTGTTTGATAACATCTTGACAATGGTATATGTTTACATTCACTCACAATATCGTGTATGCCCCCATCTAACCTTTATAAAATTCGATATTATGTTTGGAGACCTTTTCAAATGTCTTGCCTCTAAAAACAATTACATATTTCCATGTAATACTTTTTGAAAAAGTTATAAAAGCATGTTAGCTTCAAAGCTTGTGCCAAGGTGATGTTGTTTATGGATGTTTGCGTTTGAATAATTACATTTCAATACAATACTCATCTCCACCTGCCTCATTATTGTAGGAAATTATCATTTTCAACCTTGTTCTATCCACTGCTAAATGAAGCTCTGTCCATGCTGGTCTTGTCTACAGACTAGGTGATTTATGTCTTGATCCCACATGACACCCGATGTATATATTGTAATGATACTTGCATGTTTACATATAAAATATGTACGTTACTCTAGGGCGGTACTTATTTTGCAAAACACATTGTATGATCTGGAATGTTTCCCGCTGTTGAATTATGCATAATCGTAAAATGTTGTCCTAATTATAGGATGTTTAGGAGCTGCTGCAGAACTCCTTATAGAAGAAAGGACCACCCTTAATCCATATACTGTATATACCCGATTGCAATTTCAGTTGACAGACCAGAGATAAATGAAGACGGGCATGCAGGAAGGTAAAGCAGGCACAGACGTGTGTGGATAGGGTGGAAAAATAGGTTTCAGGCCCGGTTCTTTGTACAAAAGCTATTAAAGTGAAAATGGCAAAATACACGTGTATGGGATGTTGCCTTGTGGCGTGATGGCGAGCACACCGGACCTGTAACCCCGTGTGTTGCCCGATTCGATTCCCAGTGATTCTGAAACCATCCCCACAGTCCAAGCGGCAGGAAAAAAGTGGGCACGCCAGCCCAGGTCGCGAGTGGCGGCCTCAAGTTTTGTGTAGCTTCCCACCATAACCAGGATGTCTCCACAGCGTGGAAGAGTCCAGGGGCAGGCCAAAATACCCACCCAGAAGGCCTCTCCGAGAGCTCCACCACCAGATGGGCGCCCTTCTGTCAGCATTGGCATGAAAAATCAAGCTGAACAGCCCAAATCATGGGCATGTCCCACGTGTAAAATTCACCTGGCCTTGCCTGTGATGATAATCCTCACGTGTTCCTGGGTTAATCCCTCACCGCTGCCCGAATTAACCAATGCATTGTGAACCCCTGTGTTGTATTCGTGAAGCCCGTTTGTGAAATTAGCTCATTGCCCGATGCGAGCAATGCCCCCACCACCACCCACCACCACACGAGTCTATAAACAGGCCACAACATTGCTGTGTTCTTGCTACATTATCTTAATCTGACCAGATTCTCCCAGGATTGTAGATGTAAGTCTTCACGGGGGCATTAAAAGTTGTTTACGGTGCAACTTGAGACATTGTATGCACATGTAAGCCTCCCTTCTTGTGATAATAGGTTTTTCCCCTTTTGTCTGGCAACAAAACAGCTGTGTTAAGATGTTAAAACACCAAACTGAAACCTTTTTACAAGGAATCATGTTTGCATTAACCACAACGTTTGTGGTCAGGATGCAAACAAAAACATGCTCTGATAATATATGCATTAAATTTCGATTTAAAGCTTTCGTGACTGCAAGGATTCATCTTCTTGGTTCTTTCGGTAAAGTCACGTAGAATGAGAATAAAACAATAAAACAAAATAAGACAATAAAATTCTCACGACGTTTCGGCCACAACACAAGTAGCCTTCTTCAGGTGAAGGAACAGAACTGTCGGGACGACAGCGCTTCATTCTACGTGAGTTTACCGAAAGAACCAAGATAATATATGCATTGACCTTGAAACTGATTGGCCCATAGCAGAGACAGCTTCCTTTTGAGCCTCGTCTCAAACGGTGTTAGACCAGAGAACGCCAAAAGATTCTAGAAGATGTCGGGCCTTATAAGCCTTCATTGACCTCCTGGGTCCTGCAGAGGGCTTGGAGGGATTCAATTCTAACCTGTGAAGCCTAACATAAGGTATGCAATAGTAAATTGTAGACTACTCGAAGTAAGAAATGAATGGACAATAACCTAAAGGAATATTTTTTTTTAATTTTATTTAAAAAACAACGTATTCACCATTCTTAATGCTGTAACAAGTTGGAAAACAATCCCCTTGTGCCATTAACTGATCGGCCAAGGGTGCTAAGTGTAAGTGCAGCACTATACATGACATTTTTACGAGACAGTTGTTTTTTAACCTTTTCTTCCTCTGCTTAATTGAAACTCCCTGACGTTCAAGCACGTGGAACAGTAGAAGCATCGCTCTTCAAAAATGTCCCGTTGAAAGATGGGCCCGAAAATTAAGATGTTGTGAATCGTTGACACGGTGACCTGATATAGACATCGTAATTGTGTCGGAAAATCTGACTGTCATAAACCGGATGTAATGTTTCCCAACCTTTAAATCAAATGTGCCTGCCGCCTGATGAAGCTGGTTGTAATTACTGGCGAAACGTCGTACCCGGATTGTAAATGTTGTGGGTTTACTCTCCAACACAACCCGTGTGCTGAACTGGTAACGAATTGGTAAGTTCTGTTTATGTGACAAACCTTACTGGATTATGGACTTTTAATCAACATTTTACTGACAGAAAAATACAAAAAAATCAAGACTTCATTGAATATTAATGTTTCACAATTTTACACGCACAAAAAATAGACTTAAAAACATACGGACAGACAAACAGACAGACAAACTCATACTTGCTCAATGATAGTACTTGTGATAATGATTTTCCTGGTGATATGTCGCGGTTGTAATGCAACTCAGAGGTGGCATCCCAGCTCTTGCGATGTCATCTTATCTCACAGCATGGCATTCATAACAAAACCGTTTAAAATCACAGGCTTGTTGTTACATTATAAAGGAATCAATCCGTGCAAATATGTGTCCGTGCATTTGTTTGTTACAGATACTATATAATATATTGTTTTATCAATAACAATGCCAAAGCAATACAAACCCTACTTAGAGCAAAAAAACCCCTGAAAATCAATTTGCTTTGAATGTAATAGCCTACAGGATGTGCTACGCTGCCACGTTCGCATGTTTATATATTCCAATAAAACGAAATGCGAACATCACTCGGTGATTCAATGGAATGGCACAACGAGGCTCGGTGGAGAGGATTCCTTTGTTACAAGAGGTGAATTACGGTGCGAAATAAAAAAAATAATGTCAATGACTTCGGTGAAAGCGCAGACTTCCATCTGCACTTTTATTTAGCTCGTTATTTGTCCAGGTATTGGGACACGCCGTATAAACAAGCGTCAGTGCTGCACACAACGAAACTGCAAGTTGGTGAATGCATCAGCCTGGTGTCAAGAACGCAGCCTTGCCTCTGAAGCTATTGCGAAAGAGTGATTTATTATTCTTTCCAAATGCAAAAAGTCGCAAGTGTCACGCTGCCCCAGAGAGCACGTGAATGTATCCATGTGCGTGGATGCAAGCGGTAGTGTCGTGGTTGGCCGCGCTGCGCTACGAACCCGGCCACCCAGGTTCGATTTCCGCTCACGGCTAACACCGGTGACGATTATCTGAACCGGTCCTAGGCCTCCCCCTCGGTCCGATCTGAGCTCTATCTTCTTCACGTCATTGTGCGGAACCCGCCTTGCTTCGAGTCATCAAGCAGCGTCTTCATGTTTGTATTCGTTGGCGTCTTTCCCAACATCCATCCTTCCAAGCATTCTCTCTCCCTGCATCAAGGTCTCACCTCAAAGAATGTGCCCGCATCCCCATGTGTCGGTCTGTTCTAAATTAAGACTTCTCTACGGTGCAATATATACAATGATGAGTGGAATAAACGTTAAAGGT